AAAGTTGAGGATGGGGAATATATAAAAAAGAAGGAAAGTGGACCTAATGATAAAGATCATGAGGAAAACTGCAATAATGATGCCAGGAAAGACAATTATGGTAATCATTATGATTATGCTGATAATGGGAGACACATGGCTGCACACACGAACACAGACATTAGGTATGTTTAAACAATATAGCCTACTCTACTCTCTCTCTCTCTCTCTCTCTCTCTCTCTCTCTCTCTCTCTCTCTCTCTCTCTCTCTCTCGCTCTCTCTCTCTCTCTCTCTCTCTCTCTCTCTCTCTCTCTCTCTCTCTCTCTCTCTCTCTCTCTCTCTCTTTCTTTCTCGCTTTCTCTTTCTCTCTCTTTCTCTCTCTTTCTCTCTCTTTCTCTCTATATATATCTCTTTCTCTTTCTCTCTCTTTCTCTCTCTTTCTCTCTATATATATCTCTTTCTCTTTCTCTCTCTTTCTCTCTCTCTCTCACACTCATACACACACACACACACACACACACACACATACACACACACACACGATATATATATATATATATATATATATATATATATATATATATATATATATATATATATATATATATATATATATATATATATATCGTGTGTGTGCCTTTGTGCGTGTGCCTCATCTGTCTCAGTGACGCTACCAGCCCAGAAGTGCGTCAGCGGATGGTGCGTAGCGTTTCGTCACACTAATTAGAAAGGCGGAGATAAGAAAGATCCTGCGGAAATGTTTTGCGTTTTCTGTGCGGTCGTCTGGGGACACGACTTTCACTTATGCCGTGTGGGACTCACTCACTCACGCCCATGTACACCCACATATACACACATGTAGGTGTTTATGCGCACACACACTCGGCCACGCGCAGTGGGGCGTGTGCAGGTATACAAACTTATACTTGAATGAACACATATACTCAACACAGATGTATTTCTTATAGATTGGTAGATAGGTAGATGGATAAGTAGATAGACAGATAGATAGATAGATAGATAGATAGATAGATAGATAGATAGATAGATAGATAGATAGATAGATAGATAGATAGATAGATAGATAGATAGATGGATAGATAGATAGATAGATAGAGAAGTAGATAGAGAGATAGATAAAGAGATGGATAGATAGTTAGACAGATAAATACTGTAGATCGACTGGATAGATAGATAGACAGATAAATACTGTAGATCGACTGGATAGGTAATGGTGGGTACGAGTGTATCTGTAGGTTTGTCTGTGGTTGCGTAGGTATGTATGTAATGTGAGATACAAATCGACTGCATGCCTCTGGTTTTCAGCTTTTGTATTTTTCAGAGATCATGAGAAGGAGAGAGAGAGAGAGAGAGAGAGAGAGAGAGAGAGAGAGAGAGAGAGAGAGAGAGAGAGAGAGAGAGAGAGAGAGAGAGAGAGAGAGAGAGAAAGAGAGAGAGAGAGAGAGAGAGAGAGAAAGAGAGAGAGAGAGAGAGAGAGGGGCAGAGGCAGGCAGAAAAAACAGACAAGACAGAGACGGAAAATTGAACACCAGGCTTGCTACTTATATCTTTTAACTAACCAATGATCAAGCAAAATATTTATATAAAAAACCGAGGATAAAATATGGCGGAGAAATATAACACGTGTAAAAAAACACTTGTAGTAACAGCTCTTACAAGAAAAAATATATGTAATTTGTGATGTAAATGGAAATAAAGAAGAAAACTATAAAAAAGAAAATACTTTCTCAGTACCTCTGCTCAAGTTGGAAACTGCATTTTCACCTAACAAGTTTTATTTTCATTTTCTCTTTCTTGTCTGTTTTTTCTCCCCTCTCTCTCTCTCTCTCTTTCTTTTTTCATTCATTTCTTTTTGTGTGCTATTATCTTTTTTGCGTTTTTGCGGTTTATTTTCTATTTCTTACAAAGAACAGCTTGTTGTAAGAGTTGTAAATGAAAGTAAGCAATGGTGTTGCAAAATATTTTCAGAGGAGAAAAAGAAAAGAAAATTATCTTTAAAAATAAGCATTATATAGCAAAAGAAGCATAATGAAATACGATTAAGAATTATAGGAAAAGTTTTATTGATCATTATAACGATGTTTATAGTAATATTGACATTAATCTCAAATACGAGGAAAAAACAATTAAAAATAATTATCATTCGTAATGATAATGTTAGTGTTAATGATGATGATGCATAACCATGGTGATAATTTTGATAAGAATAACATTAATAAGAATAACATCAACGATCATACTCCTAAATATGCAAAATATCCCAAACCCACCATAAAAAATAAGAAAAAAATAAAAATAAAAACTTTTTTCCTGGCAAAGGCCCTCCATCGCACCCATGCCCACGGCGAGAAGGGGCGCCCGCCAGCCCGCTCTCCGTCTGGCCCACTTGACTCGGGAACCTCAACGCGTCAGTAGCAAATTGGACGTCGAGGAGAGAGCATGGCGCGCTTGGCTCTCTGGCTCATATCTGTGGTGGTGATTGGTGTTGCTGTGCCTGAG